GTCTATTTTCCCATTCACACATTTGGAAAATTGTACTATGCTTTCTATGCCAGTGCATGGTTCCTTGAAATGGATTTTGTTAAAATAATGAATAAATCTCCATGGCATGGAGATCTTCAAGCTGGTCTTGAACAGATAGGTAAGATAAATGCTAACAAAGTGGCCTGGTTACTGTGGGGGCAAAAACATGAGTTGTGTCCTCCTCCAGTCTTAGCCCTGTTTTTACAAACATTTGCACCGTTGATCTTTTTCTATCAGTCGCCCTTGCTGGCCTTCTCTATCAGCTGCTTTGACTCTCTAAACCCAGCAGCAAACCTGGATAGGGCTGGTCAGTTCTTCTACCTCCCAAAGTATTGAAATAGTCCTTTCTGGAAGTGCCAAAGGAGGGGGTGGGCTTTAAGAGGAAACATGAGGGTGGGGGGAAAAAGTAAGCCATTGTCTGCCTGTGGCAGCAAGCCATTGGAGCAGTTGCCTCTGGAAGTGGAGCCAAGCTGGAATAGGCGGCCACAGCTAACATACACTTGAGTTGGACTAGTTCTGAATAACTGAGGTAACTTCTTTGTTACCATGTTACACTGGGTACCCCTAAGTACAGCTCTTTGTAGTTTTCTTCAGTAAAGCTGTCTCATGGCCATTGCACTCATGCACTGCAGCTGGCCAACCTCCCCTGGCTGCAGGTAGGTGTTCTCCATTATAAGTTGGCTCAAGAAGCTCTTGCTTCTTGTCTTCTTGTAACTCCTATACTTGCTGCTGTCATTCTTCACTGCTGGAAGTGTTAGGCCATGCTGAAAAACCAAATTTAATAAAAACTTCAGGGGATTGCTTGCTCTTTGTAGTGGGTTCGCTTCAGTGATCCAGTTAACTGGTTGCTACAACCGAGGACTAGCAAATTGTAGCATAGATAGGAGAACTTCATGTGCTGGCTTTCCCAGGGTAATTAACCTCTGGGGAACCACAGCTGTGGTTGCACTTGATACAAAGTTCTTGCGTTTGGAGTCAACACTAATGACCGGGCCTTAGAATTAGCAAAGGCATTGACTTCCTCTGTTAATAAGACCAAAATGCTTGCAGTGGATTTCATAAAAGCGTTCCTATCTTTTTTTCTTTGCTGCTGATTGAAAGCAGATATTGTTAAAAGACTTGTTTTAGAAAACGTGTAAGTGTGGAAGTGCTGGGAGAACAGTGACCAGCTTATGGTCATCTGCATCCTGAGGCTGTTAGTAAATGTCTGTCCCTAAAATTTTGCTATAATGGCACACCTAGTATCTCTGTTTCTTATTTACAAGCACATCTGGAAAGAATGTGAATAAGATCCTAGAGTGGGTTTCCTTATTTACTTGTTCAATTTTCACTTAAATCCTATTGTATTTTGTTGCTTAAAAGAAACCATGTGGGCAGTTTGCTGTCCTGTTGCAGTCCTTTGGCTATCAGGGTGGGTATTGGAATGATCTACCCCCCTCCACAGACACCCCCCCCAAAAAACGTGTGCCTTTCACAGCCCAGCAGCTCTTCCCCAGTGCTTGGCTCACTTGCACAATTGTGACAGTTTGTAAAACTGGAAAAAGATTTTGCTGCTTTTGTGGCAGTTTTCCTTGGAGCATTATTGTTGAAGTAGCTGATGAGCTCTGCTTATCACCAAGTGAGTCCTGGAGAAGTCTGGGGAGAGAGAGGAAGATGCTGTTAATGCTGCCAGCAGTAGAATGTATTACAATTCTTCAGATTTGGAGGGGGGATCCATTTCTTCTCTCCAGAAATGGAGTAGACAGTGGCTGTGTTCTTTAAGCGGGTTTCACTCATGACCCAGAGAAGAAAACAAGAAGAAACCTGAACTCCTATTTGGTATATGCAGCCATTTAAAAATAGACACTTGCACTTTGATTCAGCTTGCTCTTGTCTCATAATTGTCTTGGATCTTGGCCATTATATTTTTGAAAATCCTTCACTTCAACAGTAAAAGGCGTGTTTCCAGTTCTGAAATTCACAAAAGTCATTTTACTTGAGTTCCATGCTTGTTCTTCCACGGTATAGTCCTTTTTAGTAATTAAAGCATATGTGCTAAGATTTAAGTGAGTAAAGTGTTTGAGTATGCTTAAGCCTTAGTAAAGTTCAGGCCTTCCTTCGGCAGCATTCAGTAGTATATGGGTTGTTTGGGCTTTTCCCCTGGGATAAGTCTGGTTGAGATCCTAACAGATGTAGTTGAAACTTGACCACCTTGGTTGTACAGTGCCCAAAAGTTTGCCTGTCCTCTGGAGTTCTTCCTTGTCCTTTGGGCTAAAAATCATCACAGAGAATGGGCTTGGTATCATGTACTTTTTATCTCCAGAAAGCATCATAAATTAGGTGTTCTGGTCATATTTAAATGTGCTGGGGCAGAACTGATACTTAGTGGTGCTGTTTGGTATGTGATAAGGCATAGAGGTGCTGTTTAGGAACAATATTGATGAATAATTTAGAACTCTAATGTTCTTGTAAGAATCTCTGCTCTGTTAAAATCAAAAGGATAAGATGATGTGTACATGAACAGAAACTCTTGCATGTCCTAATTTGAATCATACCTTAGCCCAGGAGTATACCAGCTCTTCCTGTCACGTTCCTGGAGTGTGATATTACCTCGAATGCAAAATAGAGAATGCCTGAAAATATTTTGGCTTCTAAGCTGGGATCAAAAGACTTTTTTCCTGAACTATTGAAAACCAATTAAACTGGTCTCAGTCATTGTAAACTCTTATGCATGTTTCTGTAGCCAGTCTTGTGGGGGGGTTTTTTTGGCCTTGTAGGTGTCTGTGTAATTTCAGGTTCATACACTGAACACAGATTGAAGATGAGCAATTCTGACACAGTCAGTGTGAGTTGGCAGCCTAAAAAGAAGGAACTTAGTGATGAATCAAGGTAAAAGACAGACAGATATATTGTCAAATGAAGGGGGGAGAAAAAGAGTCAAATGAAGTAATGCAAACATAAGGCAATAAGAGGGAGGAGAACAAACAGTGTATTATCAGTAGTGAAGGGCCACAAAAATAGCTTCTCTTGTGCAGTTCTTGTACAAAACCAAGACTGACTATTACTTGTCTTCTGTGAAATACATACAGTGTTTAAAAAAGATCTAAAATGCTTATACAGGAAGAGGAGGTGTAATTTCCAAGTAGATGATGACTGCCAGTGAGAAGGGAATAACTCTGCCCTTTTATAAATGGGAATACTGGTAGTATGATGGCTTGTGAAGACTTTTCTTTATGTAAACCTGATCTGAATCTAGTTTTTGCTCTCAAAGAGGGAAAAGTCCTCAGCATGGGCATCAACTGCAGTTTTATTAGTAGAGTCATCAGTCTTCTGGGCATTGGGAAATGAATGACACACCAGAAGTAGGCAGTTGCAGGCATCATTTAGTGTAAATTATTTCCTTTTGGAATTCGCAAATGCTTAATAATCAAATATATGAGAGATTTGAGCATGTGTAGCAGTTTTTCTCCTCATCCTGTCTGCTTATTGCAATGAAGATTTGAAGTCAAAGAGGAAACACTACAGCCAGCTTATGAAAGAGCTTGGATTTGGGGTTTTTTATCTGCTTGACTTTTTTTTCTTTTCTCTAAAATATTAGGGAGATGCTGCATCTTATGGTCACAGAGTTGGAGTATACTTATTAGAACTTTAAAAAAAAAAGGGGGGGGCTTAGTCTGAAAGATCAACTCCTTCAACTGTGTTGAAGGAAATAGAAGTCTCTTGTAATGACTGTTAAATAATTGAGAGAAAACAAATGACAATATTTTCAAGACCCTGAATTTTGAGAACACTTTTGAATTTGAACTTCCGTTCTTTAGCTAGATCATTCAGCTGAAAAGCAGAGTTTGTCTTCTAAGCAGTTTGGAATAGTAAATGTCATACTTCTCTGCATTTCAAGCTCTAATTTCTGGTTTCTTTTTGCCATTGTTTGGAAGAAAGAATAAAATAAACTTTTGCATGTCTTTATTTTAAAATGTGGCAATCCAAGGCTTAAGGACCAAAAATTAAAATATTTTTGTGAGACTGAAGCAATATATGTTTCTGCTGTGACACGAGAAAATAATAAACAAAGATGATATCAGTACGGAACTCATCCCTCTGTACTTGGCACTGGTGAGGCTGCACCTTGAATACTGTGTTCAGTTTTGGGCCCTTCACTACAAGAAGGACATTGAGGAGCTGGAGCATGTCCAGAGAAGGACAGCAAAGCTGGTGAGGGGTCTGGAGCACAAGTCTGATGAGGAGCAGCTGAGGGAACTGGGGTTTCTAGCCTGGAGAAGAGGAGGCTGAGAGGAGACCTTACTGCCCTCTACAACTGTTTGACAGGAGGGTGTAGTGAGGTGAGGGTTGGTCTCTTCTGCCAAGTGTGTGATAGGATGAGAGGAAATAGCCTCAAGTTGCACCAGGACAGGTTTAGGTTGGGTATTAGAAAAAATTTCTGCACTGAAAGGGTCATCAAGCACTGGAACGGGCTGCCCAAGGAAGTGGTTGAGTCCCCATCCCTGGAGGTATTTAAAAGCTGGGTAAATGAGATGCATAGGGACATGGTTTAGTGGTGGACTCGGCAGTGTTACATTTACCATTGAACTCTGTGATCTTAAAGTTCTCTTCCAACCTAAATCTTTCTATGGTTCTAAAGCTTCCATATTTGATTTTCATCGCTGTAGCTCAGTAGCATATTATCGAGGAGTTGTATCCAATTGAATGTAAAATGTTTCTGGACAAACAATGCTTGTTTTGTTAATACACTAAATTCCTTTGCTAAACTAAGGTTAGAAACTGACAATGTATGTTTGGGTGACTTTTGAAGGTGTGAAATTGAATAATTTATATATTCAATTGTTGTCTTTTCCCCCATGTTGGGGTAAAAGCATATATCTTAGGGGGCTGGCATTCAAATCATAACTAGAGATTATTCTTTGAACTCTTTTGATCTGCAGTCATTAATCTAAGTGTCTGGAATCAACCTGCAATAAATGGAATGACTACATCTTTTTCAGAGGTGTCTTGGTGAGACTGGAAGGATGCAGCCATCCTGTTGTTATGAAAGGCTTGTGTGCAGAATGTGGCCAGGACTTGACTCAGTAAGTATTCTCAACTTCTTTTTTTCTCTCCCTACCTTCTCCTTGCTTGTGATTAGGGATCCAATCTCTTCCTTCTCTCGTTTACTTCTTTGCTTCTCTGGTTTGAGTTTTGGTAGTTGTGAATCATACCTACAAGGGTAACTTGTTGTAGATACTAGTAGCCAGGGAGAACAGTAGTCATACTGCTTAACATAAGTAAGTTTGCTTAGAGTGCTGTTATAAGGAAAGCTGAGAGGGAGTTTCCTCTAAAAGTTAAATTTCGTTGTAAAGTACTCTTCATATTTGCTTTTAAAAAAGATATATATATGTAGGCTCATGAAGTTGTTGCTTAAAGTTGAGTGGTCTGAGTATATTAATTCTTGATCACATTATTAATAGTGAAATCATTTAATAAAGTTTTTTTTTACTGAAAAATTGCTGCTTGTAGGCAGGAATCTGTGTTCCTTGTGGATAAAACCAGCACGTGAAGAAGAAATAGGCAGGATCTGTGCCACTGTTGTGAAGTGTCTTAATTTACTTTTGCTATTTACATAAGGCACTTGCTTTGTCACCCTGAAATTTTCAAATATGTGCCCTCTTTCTCCTTAGATGTCACTGTAGTCACAGATACATTGTTTATAACTGTATTTCCTTTGAGCCATTACAGGGATTCATAACTAGGAATACAGGTAAATAAGATGCCATGTGGGTATTTGAGTTAGTTCACATTACAAATTTATGATTTATTAACTGTGCATGCTCTCTTTCTCTGAAGATAAATGTAGGGTTACGTACTACCTTAGGTAGAAAATGTAAAGAGCATGCATACAGACATAAATTCTCATCACAGTGTGTCCTACTTTGCTTTTTATATACTCATAACTGAGGTTGAGAGTTGTAAGGTGTGTCAACAGTGACTTAGTGACTGAGTAGGTAGAAATGACAGTTTTATCTGTGCAAGTGTAAATAGCTATGAGGTAACATCGGTCTCATTCATGTGACCTTGCTTCACTTGCTCTGTCTGAATGGGAGCTAGCTTGTTTACAGTGCTTTCAAATTAAGGCTTCAGAACTGTTTTCAATTTTTTTGTTAAATATTCTGCCATGGAACTAAAGGAATTTAAGCCTTAGGCCAAAAAGAAAGCAAATTCAAAAGATAATTGTATTTCTCTTTTGCCCTGTCCCATTGCTAATACAGTTAGTAAAGAGAATGTTTCTTATGCATATTGAATTACTAATTGAACAGCTGTTTTCCAACATGGGCTGTATAGTAGCCTGGATTTTAGAAATGAATGTTGCATGCTTATTGTGTTTGGAAGGGGATACTTTTGTTTCATTTTAATTCATACTCATTATTAAGAAATATTTTGTGAGCGTTATGCCATAAACCAGTGCAAACGGACTGAATATTGAAAATGTTATGGAATATGTAGCACAGTTAATGATTGGATGTAACTTCTAATGAAAAGTTGACTGTTAATTTTTTGTAAACGAGTAGTATTTGGCAGTACAACAAACCTAACAAAAAGTTAGGATAATAAATACATCTTTGCCTGCCCTGAATGAATATTTGATTTGAGGTTTGAATACAGTCACATCTAAATATTGCTATACTGCTATTATTTCATTAAAAATTTACATACATTCAGGGTATGCAATGAATTCAGTTTTCTCAACTAATACTCCTCTACTTCAGATAATATCTCCATTTTATACAAAATGGCTTACACTTCTGGAAGGATGTGTTAGGTCTGTGGAGCCTACATCAGAAGGCAATTCAAAAGTATTGATGCTTTCCTTGCTTGAACAAAAGTGAATACAGCCAGTTCACTGCCAGCTTGTTGAGTGTTAGTCAGTGGTGCATCCTTTCTGTTAAGCAATTGTTATGCTCATTCAACAAATGGTCTGAAAACAGTTCATCTTTTTTAAAGGCTCATTTAAAATACTGTTCGTTGTTACATATGAGATGTTCTGAACTCTGAAGCAAAGGATTTAAGATGCTAAAATGTGCATGTAAACTTTGGACCAAATGCAGTGTCTGTCTTTTGTTTCTGGGTATCAGTGCTTCCAAATGCTGTGGTACGATAGAAGCATATCTGTCTGTGATTGTTTCTGCCTCTACAGAGCTCAGTAACATTTTTTCCTCAGGAGCTTGCTTAACTTGAAGTGAAAACTGGGTGCAGTTTAACTCTGGCTGTAGGTCTGATACCAAATTTTGTCCTTGGTAGGACAGGTACTGGGGAGAACTAAAGGATGTGCATGTGTCACATAGGACAAAATTTTTACGGTAGTATTTTTAATATTGGTGAACCATAAATAATGTCTTTAAAATTGGATATCAGAGTTCCCAATAAATTGATCTGTGTAAGCTGGAAGCTAGTGATACTGACGCTATGTGGGGTTGCTTGGACAGTTTTCAGGGATTTTGTACTTGTGTGTACACACACACACTCTCATATATATGTATATATATGAGAATGATATGTATTCTGTATGTATTAATATTTCTGTATATGCATTTGTATAGCATATGGATGTGTATATGAGTAAGACTGTATGTTTGTTAATATACACATAAATAAAATACAGGCACACGCATGTAGTACCTCATTCTGTTTGTGCCAAAGGGAAAAGCATGCTACGCATAAAGAGTAACTTTGTCTATCCCTTGCTTACATTTATTTCATAGTCTGGCTTGAAATAATTGCATGCTGAGTGATTGAGGGGGAAAAAAAAGGAAAGGAATAGTTTTAAATTTTATTGGTTTGGTAGTTACACTTTGTTTATAACTATTTTCTGATGCCAGTCAATGCATAGGTGTCTGTTTCATCTTGGTGTCATTTTTCATTAAATAATTACATGGAGTCATAACTAGTTACAGTGACTTTGCAAGATTTTTATGGTGAGCTGCTTTGATCTTTCTATCCATTTTGTTCAGTTACTTGCATTAACAAGAATTTGAAAGAGTG